TATTTATCCATCCCCAGGGTTGCAACAGTCTAGACTTCTCTTTTGCAAACGTAATGCTTTGCTCTCAGGAGGCTGCTCACAAGGTGGGAAGGCGGTAGGCTCCTGGAGGCAACTGAGAGAGGCAGAGAGCTGAGGGAAGACAAAACCGAGCCCAAGCGAGAGAGAAGCTGGACTGCTAGACTGGGGCAGGGGACACACACACACACACACACACACACACACACACCACACATGCATACACACACAACGCCACAACGACACCTTCTACCATGGGAGTCCTGGGGTCCTGATCTCCCCCTGTTCCTCCTTCCAGGGCAAGTCAGGGCAGAAGGCTCCCTGAAAATCAGGTCTGGGCTCAGTAGCACATGACTGAGAAGCCTGTGGGTGGAGCGTCTGAAATCCCTCCACTGCCTAGAAAGCTTACTGCTGCTGGGTCCGCCAATGCTGGGCCCACAGGGAGTTTGTTGTTCCTAACCCAACCTCATCAGGCGGACTTCCCACATCCAAGCGGATGACATGCAAACAGCACAGCCATCTCCACTGGCACACCCGAAGGCCCCACCCAGCACCCTCCATGATTAAAAATAGTCAAGAGAGCACTGGGTACTGGAAGGACCAGAGGCCAAGATCATTTCAGAGACCATCTTCCAGACAGGCCCTGAGTTCAGGGAGGCCACCAAGATTCCAGACTCATAGGATCAAAGGCTCCCTCACGCCCTCCCATCACCCCTTCTTTTTTCCCATAAAGGCTGCAGACTCTCCTGGCAAGCCACTCCCCACAATTCTCTTATGTAAGCCTATTTTGAAAGCAGCAAAATGGCTAATGATCCTGGTCTGGTGGCACAGGCCTGTCATCCCAACTATTCAGGAAGACTGCAGGTTCAAGGTCAGCCTGGGCAACGTTGGGGAAGCTGGCCTCTATATAACAGGTATAGTAGAACCGGGGCCATAGCTCAGTGGAAGAGAGTTTGCCTAGCTCGTAAGGTTCAATCTCCAGCACCACACAACAGAAGAGGCCAGTTAAGCAACAGGCGACAAGGAGACCCGACGATTTCAACCCAAGGAAACACAAGAAGAAAAAGAGACCCTAATTCCTCGAAGGGGAAGGAAAGAAAGCCAAAAGGTCTTAGAGTAGGTTCAGAGGCAGGGTGGGAGGGTGACTATCACTCTTGAAAAGGTACATTTCTGCCTTTAAATTAAAAAAAAAAAAAGCTGCAGGGGACTGGAGAGATGGCTCAGCATTCTCTGAACACTCTTGTAGAGAACCCAGGTTCAAATCCTAGCACGCACAGAGCAGCTAACAATCATCTGTAACTCCAGTCCAGGGGAGCTGAAGCCTTCCTCTGTCTTCTTCCGGCACTGCACAACACCAGTGCACATTCAGCCATACTCATACACGTAAAATAAAAATAGATAAATCAAAAACAATTTAACTGCAATAAATCTAATTAAGGAAGCCAAAAACCTCTACGATGAAAATATTAAGCACTCAAGAAATTGGAGGAGACAGTGGAAGATAGAGAGACCTCTTGTGTTCATGGACTGGGAGAATTAATATTGTGAAAATAGCTATCTTAAAAGCACTTTCTGGAGTCAATGCACTCCTCATCAAAATTCACTGCTATTCTTCACAGAAATAAAAGGAAGCAATATTAGAATTCACGTGGAAGCACAAAAGATGTGGACTAGCCAAGCAATTAAAGGGAAAGAATAGAGCTGGACATATCACTGTGCTTGATTTCAAGTTATAGCAGAGCCACAGGAACAGAGACAGCAAAATCCTGGGGCAAACACATAGGTAGGGATCAATGGAACAAAATAAAAGATCCAGATAGAAACCCATACAGCTACAATCACCTGCCAAAAATACACACTGGAGAAAAGCCAGCCTCTTCAGCAAACGGAGAAGGGGAACTGGATATCCAGCTACTGAAGAGAGAAACTAGATTCCTACCTCTCACCCTGCACAATAATCAACTCTAGATGGATCAAAAACTTTAACATAAGACATGAATCTCTGGTGCTGTAAGGAAAAGTAGAGAAAATACTTCCAGATATAGGAATAGGCAAAGATTTTCTGACCGGGACTCTGGTCACTCTGGGAATAAGGCCAATAATCAGCAAATCAGGGTTTGACTTCATGAACTCAAAAAGCTGCTGTGTAGCAAGGAAAGAGGTGAAGATACAGCCTATATGATGGGAAAAAGTCCTGGCTCGCTGTACAACTGGCAGGGCTAATGTCTAGACTACACATATAATCCAAAAAACTAAACAAGAGCTCAAACACCCAGTCAACACAGGGACTAATGGAATGGACAGGGCTCAAAAGTTGAGATACAAATGGCCAGTAATCGTGAAAAGATGTTCAACATCGCAAGCCATCTGAGAAACGCAAATCAAAGCTACACTGAAATTATATCTCATCTCCGTTAGAGTATTGATTGTTAAGAAAACAAACGCGGGGGGGTGCTGGAGAGATGGCTCAGCGGTTAAGAGCACTGACTACTCTTGCAGAGGACCTGGGTTCGATTCCCAGCACCCACATGGTGGCTACAAACCATCCTTAACTCCAGTTCCAGGGGAATCCGAAGCCCTCTTCTGACCTCTGCATCATTGCATAACACACAGGCAATACACTCATACACGTAAAATTTTAAAAAAAATAATTTTAAAAAACCAAACAGGGACTAGAGAGATGGCTCAGCAGTTAACAGCACTGGCTGCTCCTGCAGAGGACCTAGGGTTTGACTCCCAGCACCCACATGGTGGCTAACTCCAGTTCCAGGGGATCTGACACCCTCTTCTGGCCTCTGCAGGCAGTGCACAATTGGGTGCATTACATACATGCAGACAATACATTTACACACATAAAAATAATAATAAAGACAATATTTTTTAAAAGAAAACAACAAATGTTGGTGGGGATGTGGACAGAGGATTCTATGCACTGCTGGGGTGCAAACTAGTCCATCCTGATGGAGGTTTCTCAAAAAACTACAGATCTCCTACATGACCCAGCAATACACTCCTGGTGTTTACCCAAAGGGCATTCCAACATGTCACAGAGATGCCTTTCCGAGTCTTCACTGCAGTGTTATTCACAATAGATACGTCACGGAATCAACCTAGGTGTCCACCAACAGAGAAATGGATAAGAAGGATGTGGAGTGCTCTATATACACAGTGGGATTTTTTTCAGCCATAAAAAGAATAAAGTTGTCATTTGAAGGAAAATTGATCTAACAAGAAATAATCATATTAAGCAAATTAAGTCAATTTCAGAAAAACAGATAATATATTTTTTCTCTCATTTATGGTTCCTAGATTTTAGACAAATCCATTCATGTCTACATTAATTGAAAGTAGAAATGAGATTTTCTAGGGAAACAAAAGGAAGGGCCAAAAGGGTACATGGGGGAGGGACCAGACGGAGGGGATAGACTCAAGATGCACTATGTGCTTGAATGAGAGTGCCTAAAATAAAAACGAGATGCGAGATTACTAGAGAGAGAGTCAAGGTGCACCGCACGCATGCTTCATCTCTGTTTCTGTGATGAAACGTGGGATGCAAGGCAGCTCAGAGGAAGAAAGGGCTAATTTGGCTCCCAACCCCAGGCTACAGCCCTCCTTTGGGAAGGCAGGACTTCAAGCAGCTAATCACATGATGTCGTGGTCAAGAGCAGAGAGAAGCGGACCCACACGCCGCCTGTTTGCCTGTTGCTCATGCTAAGCTGGTTTTCTTTACTCTTTTTTCATATTTTATTTATTTTTATTTTATGTGTATAAGCATTATGCCTGCTTGTATGTAAGTGCACCCATGTTGTGCAGTGTCCTTGGAGGTCAGAAGAGGGCATCGGATCCCCCGGAACTGGAGTTACACACGGATGTTAGCCACCATATGGGTGCTGGGAGTTGAACCCAGGTCCTCTGCAAGATCAACCAGTGCTGTTAACTGCTGAGCAGTCTCTCCAGCTCTTTCTTTACTCTTACACAGTCTAGGACTCGGCCCATGAAATGGAGCCGCCCACAGTGGGTTGGGTTTTCCTACATCAATTAACAATCAAGGCAATACCCCACAGACAATGCCCATGGGCCAAACTAAGATCCAGACAATTCCTTGAGACTCTCTTCCCAGTGATTCTAGATTGCAGCAAGTTGGCATTTAAAACTAACCATGCAGCATATATAGAATGTCATAATGAGCCAATTGATTAGTATGATTCGTCTACACTAACAAAAATTCTAAAATATGTATTATTAAATAAAGATTATTGAAAGAAAAAAAAGATAGGAAAAAAGATGATTGTTAGATAAGCAGTGTTAACCTGAACAGCTCAAAGCCGTGAGGTCCTGGGTTTACTCAGTTCCTTTTCCAGAAACCAACTGCGTCTCCAACCCTTCCGCGTCCCACAGATCCACAACGTTTAATTAGTTGGAAAGGTTTCCACTCACCTAGGTTGGTGAACCTGGACCACCAAAACTGACAAATAAGTTACCTTTTCTCACACAGGGCAAAATACACATCTACTCTAGCCTGCAGTCACACATTCTCCTGTAAGCTTTGCCCCACCCACACTCCAACAATGGCGCTAAAATAGTGGTAATAGAGGGACAGTGACATGACTCAGAACACTCAGAGGCAGGAACCCCAGTCAGTGCCTATGTCGCAGCACCCAGGCACCACCAGGGATGGCATTAGACCCCACAGGGCTAAGAGATCAGTACGTGTCTGTTTGCCCATTGCTAAAACTCAAGAAACCAGACATCCCCCACACCACACCCAGAGTCTGTGAAGACTCTCGTTTTCCTAGGGGAACAGAGAAGACCCTGACAGTTTCTATTAATTCTGCATCCATTCTAAACCCCTTGGAGGTAAGGCTCAAACTTGTACTTCTCCTTTCCTGCCCTGTGATCCTTGGCCTGTGCCTCCTACACTCTATCCACTGACCCCATCTCATCCCACCTTTCTCCCATCCTGAGGCTTTGGAGGGAAGGCCTACCTCTCCATACTGGGTGCAGTAGGTCTCAGGCTTGGTCATTCCACAGGTAGATGAGGCTCGAAGAAGCTGAGTCCTCCCAATGAGCAAATCCCCAACAGGTGGGTAGCAGGCCCCTTGGGAGCAGGCTTGTTGGGCACACAGGATGCCAGGCAAGGCTGAAATCAAAGAGGAATGCTGGAGTGGGCCGAGAGAGGAGAGCCCAGCTGGTTACCCCATGTCCTGCAGGCCAGTTGACACCAACCCAACAACACTGGACCTCTCCTCACTTGAACCAGTGTAATGATTGCAGTCTTGACTCTGGGAGGTAAAAAGGGACTGGCTTCATATCCTATAACCCCAAACTTGAAAAGGAGAGGCGGAGGGTCAGGTATGTGTCTCAGGTGATAAAGTGCTTGTCTAGCATGAATGAAACCCGGTGTTCAGTCTCCAGCCCTGCATAAGCCTGGTATAGTGGTGCACTCCTGTAAACCCAGCACTCAGGAGGCAGAGGCAGCAGGACCAAGAGTTCAAGGTTGGACTGGAGAGATGGCTCAGCAGTGAAGAGCACTTGTTGCTCTTGAAAAGGACCTGGATTCAGCTCTCAGCACCCACATGGCAGCTCACAACCATATGCAACTTGATTCCCAGGGGATCTGACACCTTCTGGCCTTTGCAGACACTGCACACATATGGTACACATATATACACACAGGCAAAATATTCATACACATAAAAATAAATAAATCTTTAAAAGATACAAGTTCAGGGTTTCCCTTGGCTATATAGGGGATTTGAGGCCAGTCTGGGCTACATGAGATCATATACATGTACGAAATTATCAAAGAAGTTTTTAAAATTTTATTTATTATTATTTTTATGTATATGAGTGTATTGCCTGCATGTACATAAGTGCACCTGTGTTGTACAATGCCCAAGGAGGTCAGAAGAGGGTGTCGAATCCCCTGGAACTGGAGTTACAGATGGTTGCTAGCTGCCATGTGGGTGCTGGGAATCAAATCCGAGTCCTCTGCAAGAGCAGCCAGTGCTCTTAACCATTGAGTTATCTCTCCAGTCCTCAAAGAAGTTTTTTAATTAAAGAAAATAGAAATAGAAAATAAAGAGAAATTACAGCAACCAATAACCTGATATATATCACATGGATCTATCTGTGGCTTTTAGAGTAAACCTGGAGACACACATTGGGCCGTGCAGACAGTGTGGACAACCATGTGTGCCTGCCTTGTGTCCTCAGTTCACAGTCCTAAGAAGGCTGTCAGGTGAGCCACTGGTGGAACATGGAGGGCACATGCTATTTCTACTTGATTTGCACAGGTGACCAACGCAGCCATGGCCTGAAAGCAAGCCACCACACCTCCTGGCAAGTGGAAAACTCAGGCCACCGCGACGCCAGAGCCAGCCTGGGATAGAGAGGATGGGGAAGAGCAGGACAGACACTGGGAGCCCTTCAAGAGAGGCAGAGAAGCCTCTTCCCAGGAAGTGCAGAGAGTGGGCACTCCCACAGCTGTCCCAGCAGACAAGGGTCCAAGCACTACGGTGGCACGCACACCTTGGTCAGCTCTCTTCCACAGGTGGCCTGGGGGAAAGGAAAGGGATGCTTACCGAGGCACAAGAGGAGCAGTGGTGTCATCGTGGGCCAGCGCAGGTCCCCAGAGAGGATGTCACCTGGGTCAGGGCAAAGCAGCCTTAGTAAAGTCTCCCAGCCCACCCCAGCACTTTCCCCTTCTGTGAACACCTGACCTCACCCAAGTTTCTACCTTGCATCGTAACAGACACTTCTGAACCAAGCATACGTTCATAGCTAAGTATTTGGAAAATGCAAGAACCCTTGTCCCACCTGGTAGATGATACCCACAGGGACCCCCGGGGAAAACCCCATCCCCTCCCAGGCTTCAGCTTCCTCCTATGAAATGGATGGGGGTATGAGAGACAGCAGGTCCCTCTGCAGGGGAAGAGCTGTGGAGCGGTCAAAGGCCTTGTTTCTGCCTCAAGAGAGCAAACTGGGCTTTCTTGGGGCCTGGCCAGAAGCCCCAACCCAGCCCAAACTACAGACCCAAAGGCACGTAGGTCAAAGGAGCTAAGGGTCTGAAGCCAGGCTTTCTCCTGTATTGACGTGGTCTCCCACATCACAGGGCCCCAGTGAGATTGAGGCTGATGGGACAACCCGAGCTAAGAAGGGTGCTGGGGTGCTGTGGGGAGAGGTGGGGTGCTGTGGGGAGAGGTGGGGCTGAAAGTTTTAAGAAAAGCAAGAAAGGATTTCATCTGCACTAAACAAACTCGAAATGTCTCCAGTTGTGGGCTGAGATGCCGACGGTGGCTGGAAACCCCCGCACAAGAGGCTGGCCTGCTTTGTGGAGGTGTGGGCCGCCCTTGCTCAGCTTGGGATGGGACACACGGTCTGCCCAATGACAGCCGCACTTCCCTTCGGCTGGAGAGGAGAGACTGGAGAGCTGGGCAGGCAGAGAGGGACCAGGTGGCCTTTCTGCCATCTGTGCAGAGAGCCCAGGCCAGGGCATGTAACCAGAGGTCTCAGAGCCTACAAGCCCTATGACAGCAAGCATCTCTGATTTTTCACCCAGCGCTCTACAGTCCTCCCTGCTGGAAACCCCCTGGAATAAAGTACTCTGAGCCAGGCCAGACCATTCCTCCCACTTTGCCTTAGTGCTCAGCCCAGATTGAGCTGCTTTCTTCTAAGTCTCCGGGTACTTATCAGACAGGAAAGCAATTCAATCAGCTGCAGATGTTTACCCAAGTGCACCCGCTCAGGTGAGCTTCCAAGAAGAGAGCTGGATCAACCCTGTCACCCTAGGCCTCAGGCACCCCCAGACACAGCCCTTCTCCTCATCTTCCCCCATAGGGCAGAGAAGGAAGGTAACCGACCTTACCCGGTGCTCCTGGGCTCCCCTTTTCCTCCAGATACCTCTTGGCAAGCTCCCTGGGAATGTGGGGGTCCCCTTTCTTGGCTCTGTGGTTTTAAACAATAGCCTCACCTCTGGAGACTCCCTGACTGGGTGTAGCCCCACAGCCAGGACGGCCTCAGGAATCTGGCAGCTGCCACGCCCATCTGACATCACCACACCCCCACCCTCAGGACAGGACTGGGCAAGTGGGTTGGTCCGGGAAGCCGCCTGCCCTTGGGTGTCTGGAGAGCTGGAAGGAGCTGCAAACACACAGCAGCAAGGTCCTTAGAGACCAGCACCCCTTGGGTGGGAAAAGGCTCACTCCATCCCAGGCACTGCTGTGTGGCACCTTCTCAAGGTCAGTAGGGGTCAGCTTCCTCTTATGTCCCAGGTCACCCTGGACAGAAGACCAGGCAGGTCAAGGACACACAGGTGTGTGCTATGTTAGAGTCTCAGACATGTCACTGGACTGAACAGTTTAAGACCCAACTATCCAGAGCCCTAGAAAACCAGGCTCATCTCAAGAGAAAAACGGGAAATCCCGGCCTCCTGGGGAATTTGGAGGGTCCCTAAAAGGAAGAGGAATTGGTCAAAGCTTAGTTTACCCAAGGAAGCTGAACAGAGACGCCTGCATGCCAAGCCTCAGGCTCCCTCAGCAGGGCTGGCAAAGAGCCTGGACAGGTAACTGCTTATGAGTCACTGTCCCAGCTGCTCCCGGCCACGCCCTCCCAGGCAGAAATGCCAGCCTGCAGGGCCAGAAAACAGATCTGACCTCGGGTGGGAGAGGGAAGGTTGAGGCACAGCCACACCGGAAACACCAAGGCGGACTTACCCATCGTGGCCAGGCCTGGGCCTACAGTTCCCATTGTGGGGCCTCACAGGCTCCAGCCACTGTTAAGTGGTATAAACAGGACCAGGCGGCAAGGCTAGTCAAGGGCACGTCCCCTTCTAGGTGGGGTCAGAGGGCATCTCAGGAAGGTCTCTGGGTCCCTGCATTGGCCCTGGAGAGAACACTGGCATTGTTCTGGAAAGGCCTTTCCTCAAAGTCAAAGTTTAAAGGAGACTTTTGTTTTTGTTTCGTTTTTGAGAATTTCCTACGTGTTATATTTGCATTATTCCCCCCCAGCGCTCCTCCCGCTCCTCCCATGTTCCCCAACCTCCTCTTAATTTCTTGTCCTCCTTGATCAGTATTATACACATACATTTATAAACACACACACACACACGTATATAATACGCTAGTCCATTTAGTGGTGCTTGGATATACCTGTGTTTAGGACTGCCCACTTGGGCGCTCATCACCGGAGAAACCTGATTCTTCCTCAGCATCCATCGGTTGCCTGTAGCTCTTCATCTAGAGGTGAGACCCTGTTAAACTTCCCTCAGCCACCTTGGCATGTTCAATGGGATTTGTCATTATGCAGATCTTGTTAGACTACCACACTGTGAATGTGCCGCTGGTGCAGCTCTCCTATCAGGCACAGTATGCATTACCCAGCAGGTGTTTTCGTCCCTCTGACTCTTGAAATCTTTCCGTCCCCTCTTTCACAATGCTCCCTGAGCCTTAGGGGTAGAGGCTGCATTGCAGATGTATCACTTAGGGCTGGGCACTGCATCAGACTGAGTTTGGTTTCTTTGTTTTTTTATGTGTATGACTGACTGCATATTTGTATGTGCACGATGTGCATGCAGTGGCCATGTAGGCCAGAAGAGGGCATCTGATCCTCTAGAAATGGAGTTACAGATGGTTGTGAGCAGTCATGTGTGTGCTGGGTTCCCTTCAAGAGCAGCAAGTGCTCTTAACCACTGAGTCATCTCTCCAGTCCTGAAACTGCTTTGTTTGTTTTTTTAAGACAGGGCCTCACATACCCCAGGCTGACCTTGAACTTGTTATGTAGCTTAAGGATGACCTTGATCTTCTAAGCTTTCTGCCTCCACCTCCCAAGTGCTGAGATTACAGGCATGTGCCATCATACCCAGTTTTATTTGGTGCTGGGACTGGAACCCAGAGCTTTGTGTATGCTATGCAAGTACTCTCTCAACTGAGCTATATCCTCAGCCCTAAATGAGATTTTTTTCAATTACTCATTCCAGTGTATCAGGGACTCCTAAGCAGAATTTCCTTTACATTAGAGGGATATGCAAAAGAAACTGGTTTGAGAACTCCTAAGAAAGAAACAGAGAGTTCTGTGGACTGAACTGGACATGTCCTACCCCCAGCTTCAAATTTAACACAAGCTCAGGTGGTTGGAGGGTACTGCTGTTGGTTGTCCAGAAGTATGGCCAATTCTCCAGCAACTGTTAGTGGGAGTAGCATTCAGGTGGAATCCAGCTTAACTCTGTGAGAGGAGTCACGTTCCCTTCATCAGTCCCTGCAGAAAGACGTCCGTAAACTCTGGCACCTTGTTTTTGAGCCTTCCTACCACCTGGCCTGGTTCCTTCCACTCCTGAAGTCAAGACTTGCGGAAATTCCACCTTCAGCAGAGGATGTGACAAAGAGTTCAATAATAATTAACTCAGCCTGCTAAGGGTGCAGGTCTGGGAGCAATCCTGAAGGGAGGGCATGGTGGGCCTCACTGTGAGTGGCTGAGACCCTTTAAGCCCCCCACACCTAAACACACACACACACACACACACACACACACACACTCCCCTCTTTTGGAGACCAAGTAAATAAGCATTTGGTATCTCAGCCTTTGCAAGCTGGGGCAGATTCCTGGTTTGGCTTCATAGGAAGCAAATGTCAGCGGCTCTGCAGAAGCCTCCCACACAGAAATAGTCTAGGAGACCTCTAAGAGTGGCCCCACTCTTCAGAGCACCAACCATTCCAGAGACACCCGCCCCCCAGAACTCCAGGTCGCCTGGCACAGGCTGTGGGAGATCAGAGCCCAGTGTGTGCATAGATGAATAGTCTAAAATAGAGCCCAAGGCTCCTCGAGGTTCTGGCTGGGGCTCCAGGGCAGCTGGGATGTGGCCTGAACACCGCAGCTCCCCTGTGTGCTCTGCTTCGCTCTGGCCCAGTCAGCTCTTGCCTCTCAGCGCTTGTCTGCCCTGGCACCTCCGCTACTAGAACTTCTGCTTGGACTGACATTGTCCTGGATGCATTTTTCTTGCATCCACACCAACAAATGCCGAGCTGCAAATTCTGCTAGCTCCAAAATAACCAGAATCCACTTGCAGCCTCCTGGCTGAGCCACTCTACCCCAGACTACATCAGTCTTCTCCCTGGTCCACAGTCCAAGCCGAACGCAGGAGGACTCTGGGCTCCCCTGCCTCTCAAGGGCAGGGCCCAAGTTCAGACAGTCTGTGAGGCCTCCTGTGGTCAGAACTTCCCTAACTCAGCTCTCCACCTAACCCTCCCTGTCCCCACATCTGCCACAGACCCTCCTTGTTAGGCTTCCAAACTGCCAGGCCTACTTCTGACTTGGGACCTTTGCCCCAACTGTTCCAATGACTTGAAAATCTTGTGCCCTGGACACCTGCAAAACTGCTTCTCACCTTCTCAAGCCTTTGTCCCAATCCTGACTTCTCAGCAAGGCTAACTGAGGATCTCCTTGAACTTCTGATCCTCCCTGCTCCATCTCCCATGGGATTACAGATGTGTACCACCACTCCTGGTTTATGTGGCTGGAACCCATAGCTTCATGAGCTATAGCCTCAGCCCCATAATTTACTTATTGTGTTTATTTTCCACTTCTACCTTGAGGGTGTGAGGTCCACGGAGACACCAGCTCCTATCTACTTTGTTCACTCTTATTTTCCAAGAATCTAGCATATCATAGAAACTCCATGTCTGCAGAAGGGATTCACAATGAGGTGGAAATCATTCATACAGTTTCCTGAGTCCCCTGTGCCTGTTTTCTATCACTGCATCCTCAGAGGCCTCCTACGAGGCCAGTCCAGGGCTGGGTCACTCACATGAGCATTTTGCATTGTTTATGGTAGTGAAGGGGGAGGGGGGCTCTGTTTTTGGTATCTACTCCAAATTACCAAAATGTCACCGTACTGGTAAAGGTGCTACTTCCCTTTGCTTGCTCATCCGGCACTCGGGGCGGTGGTCCCTTTGGGTAGGGCAGGGGCACTGGATGCTGTTATCCCCATCATCCATCTGTAGGGCTCACACCAAATGAGGGCTGCTGGGGAGACCAGCCAGGATCTGATCCATGAGCAATTATCAAGGAAGGAGGAAGATGAGATTAGGAGAGGACACGGGAGTGTGCTTGGGGCTCTGGTGTCAAGGTGAGGGGTGCCTGGTGACTAAGGCTGGGCACCACTGGAAGACAGTGAGTCATGGCTGAGTCCTTGTCTATGGGGCAGGGTGGGCTCCAGCGGCCCCAGGAGTTTACCATGTGACTAAAGGTGGCGTGGCCCTGAGCACACCAGCTATCCAGACAGTGGGTCACCTGTTCTGTGTCCTCCCAGCATGCAGGCAGAGAAAGAGAGGAGATAGGGATGGTAAGTTCCTAAGACACAGATCATGGGTAGCCTCAGGCAAAGAGGGACAGACAGGAAGCTAGACAGGAGCCTAAGGGTGCCTGCCACACCTTTTCCACATCCTTCCCTCTCCTGTGCCCTCACCTACCCAAGCTGACCATCCATGATCACAGTTGACACTTGTGTGCCTTCCGAGACCCCAGAGTCCTATGCTAAGCTCTTTCCATGCATTAACCCATTTAATGCCCACCAATCCATGTGGGTGACACTTGGTATCCTTACTTCTCAGATAAAGAAAATGAGGCTCATTTTCAATAAGTAGGTCCCAGTGATCAGGGACAGTGGCCTTGACCACTCTGCTTCATCACCCCCACACTTAACTACATGCTGAATGGCCTGAGCACCATCCTCCACCCTTCCTTATCCTCTGGTCTTTATGGGTCCCAAGCCAAGTCAAGGCCCAGTAGCTTAAAACTTCTCTTTAGGGTCTGGGGAGACAGATGGCTCAGCCAGTAAAGAGCTTGCCAAACAAGCTTGAGGATCTGAGGCCGATGCCCAGGACCCACAAAAGGTTTTCAATTTTTTATTGTTTATTTTTATTTTATGTGCATGTGTGTTCTGCCTGCATGTATATAAGTACACCATGTGCATACAATGCCCACAGAGGCCTAAAGAGGACATCAGGT